AAAAAAAAAAAAAAAAAAGTCACATAGGTACTGAAGTGACAACTTTGGCATCATTTGGAGACACAATTCAACCCATAAACCCATAGCAATGCCTAATAATTCGGTTGATCCTAGTAGCGTCTGCAATATGCACATATCTTGAAGAAACAAGTAGGGTTCATCAACCCTACTACTTAAGCTATTGCTGTAAGGCCCAATGGTCTATGTTTTTACAATTTTCCCGGTGATTCTAAAGCAGTGATCTAGCATCTCAGCGCTAACAAATTAAAAATTGAAAGTCTTGCTCTTCTGATTCATTTTGCTTTTGGATTTGTTAATTCATCTTCTTTGCTTGTTTTGTGTTTTCTACAGTGCAAGGGATGGAACCCATGACCTTGCACATTCTAGGCAAGTGCTGTACCAGTGAGCCACACATCCAGCCCAGTGCACTTTTATTTGAAATATGGGGGGTAAGCAGGGCAATTTAGAAAGAATACAAAACGAACTTTGTACTTTGAACCTTATAACTTGAAAAATGTACATTTGGAAATATTATGTTTTAATTTTATAAATAGTAAAATGGTGTCCACGTGTTTATTGATTATTCCACAAAACATCTCCACTTCACATACAGATTTCTGACTTGTTTGTTTTATATTTCTCTTTAATAGAATGAAAAGTTAATTCTAGAGCATCAAGAAAAAGCCAACAGACTTCAAAGGCGTCTCAGTCAGGCAGAAGAGAGAGCTGCTTCAGCTTCCCATCAGGTGAGGCACATCCTCATTATCCTGAGATAATACATAGCCTGAGTGCATCAAAGATAAGCAGAGGTCCTCAGAAATTGCCACAGAACTAGTGCTTTTATTTTTGCTTGATTACCCTATTTAAAATTAGTTCCTGTAATACTTGTGATTAAAAAACTTTAGAAACAAAAATCAACATCAGTATCCTCCACTCGATGCCTACTTCCTGCCTACATTGTCCAACATCATTGCTGTTGACCATAGTTATTTACATTCAAATTAATTAAAACTTAATAAAATAAACAATTGAGATCCCTAGTCACTCTAGCCAGATCTTAAATGAGCAGTAGCAATATGTAGTCATAGCAGGCATATTGGACAGTATAGACATAGAACATTTATTTTATTATTATAAAAAGTTCTGTTATACAACAGCACATTGGTTCTATTTAAAACTAAGCAGATATTTACTGGCAAATTAGAAAGCACATAGCATTACTATGAATATATTTCAATTTCACTACCTTTGTTATTTTAGCTTTAAATGGAGAAATTATTTCACTTACATTAATGCACATTTTTTGAGACCAACTGAATCTCAAATACAACATAAAAGTTGTCCAATGAAAAATAGAAATTTAAAGTATCAATGAAATACTGAAGAATAATTTCTCATAGTACACATCATATAAATGAAATGGGCCATTTGTTCGAAAGTAGGGGCAGTAGTTCTGCCTATTAGGAAAAAATGAGACCAGTTCAGTGGTTAAAAATATAAGCTATAAACAGACAAGTGAAATGGAGGGATGAGTGGAACAGTAGGGAAAAAAAGCAAACTAAGTTACCATAGTATTAATTGCCAGTTGGTTATAAATGTACTGTGTGCATGAAAAGGAGTATTTTTCTTAGCTATTGTTGGCATGGCCTAGTGGCACTAAGTAGCCATGTGACTTTGAGCAATTTCAACTTCTCTAAGCCTCAGTTTCCTCATGTTTGATGTAAGCTAACACTTCCCTCATGTAGTTAGTAAAGGATAAAAAGAACTAATACATGTAAATCCTTTAATATAGTGGTAAACATACACTTAGATGGATATTTGAGAACTTAAATTCCTCTATCATGATCCGTACAATTCACATTTACTTTCTGACATGGTTTCACTGTGTTCTTGGGCTGATCTGGAACTCCTGGGCTCAAGAAGTCTTCCTGCCTCAGCCTCCTATGTAGCTGGGAATTCAGGTGCACACCACCATGTCCAAACTAACCCATTTATCTTTTTTTAAGGGATAAAATAAAGAAAATGCCTACTTAACACCAATTGCCTGGAGTTAATATAGTAAAAAGAGTAAACTATGGCACCTTATTTATGTAATCCAGTGACTTCTAATTTAATTTTTCTCTTGATAGAGCTAAATCCTCAGTGGTGATTTTCTGTTATTTAAACTCTCCAATGGCAAAGTTTCTGCCATTCTTTTAAGAGCCTATTTTAAATGTTTTGTCAGTAACTACTTCACAAATTTTTTCTGGAACATATTTTTTCTTATTCATTTCTCCTTCCATTGTGCTTTTATTTGAAAATGGAAGATAATTATTTAGTATACTCCCCATGCACAAAAAGGAAATTTTTCTCTGAAGTGAATTTTTTTTCTACTTTAAATGACACCAAGTGGTAAACTTTATAAAGCGTGTGTTGTTTTTCTCATCTTTATCTTTGCCTTTTCTGAATCCTGATTTTCTCATTTTCTTCTAACAACTAGATATTGCTGTTAGAAATGGTGCCCGACTAAGTGCACAACATTTAATGAAACAAAAGGCATTACAGGGTCTGATGTTCTCTAATATGCCACGAGCCTCGGAGCGCTGCCCACATCTGCCCTCCTTGTGCTGATGCAGCCGCACCCTGCATGTGCCGCTCCCGTTAGCTCTGCCTAGCTATCCTTCGTCCATTCTTCACATGTTACTCCACACTGCCGAATGTTATACCGTGTTCTTTTGACAGCAGGACAGTTTCTAATATTAGTATGGTGGAGCCTTTTATGTAAGAACACAAAACCTAGAGGTTATGAAGAAAGTAATAAATGTAACCGCATAAAATTTCAAATTTCTACATCAAGAAAAGTCATAGGGCTGGAAATGTAGCTCAGTGACAGAGCACTTGCCGAGCATCCACAAAGTCCTGGGTTTGATCCTCAGCACAAGGAAATAAAAATAAAGTCAGCAAGCCAGTGACAAACAGGAAAATATTTCTAGCACATATGGCAAAAAACTAATATCCAAACATAAATAAAAATGCTACAGCCTAACAACACAAATGGATAAAGAGGACTTTTAAAGAAAAGGAAAGACAGATGGCTTTAAACATATAAAAAAATGCTCCTCTTCCATAAAACAATATAAATTTCAATTTTAATCACATATCATTTTCCCATATCACACCATGAAATTCGATAATGCGCTGTGCCGGCACTCCCATACCCCAGCGGTGTGTTTGTGTTTGGTGCAGTCTCCTTGCAGCACAGCTTGGCAGTATCACTCAGAAATGTTAAGTGCACAGAACCTTTGACCCATACTTGCACCTGGAAGTCTTTGCAAGGAAGCAACCATATAAAAATGCTAATGGCAGCATTGTCTCTGATTTTAAAAGATTAAAAACCATCCAAATACTCAACATAGGAAACAGCTTAAATTATAGGGTATCCATACAGGGGATTAGTTTGCAGATGGTAAAAGAAATAAAATAGATCTAATCTAGAATTATGGAATTATTTCTCACACACATATACAGGTGTATATATATATTTTTTTCTAGAAATTACTTAAATAGTGGTTGTGTCAGAAGAGAAGACTATGGAAGAAAGAGAGTAAAGGAGAGGAAACTTCTTTTGTGCTGTATTTCTTTGTACTGTCAGATCTTTTTTACCATGTATATATATTGCAATTACAATTAATATTTAAAGTTTATTTTCCTGTTAGACTTTTCTTATTATGATCTATCATTACTTTTTAAATTACCAGTCTTGCATTGTATTTGTTCACATTTAGTTTATGCCTTAGATGCTTTTCTAATTAACATTTATCTAGATGTTTTTCATCCATCTGTGGAATGTGTTTGGAATTTCTGAGTGTATCACTCTGAGCTATGGAATATCATATTTTATATGCATTTCTCTAATGTAATACCAACACTTCAAAGTCTTCAGATTAACTAGAAGTGAATACCAAAGAAAAAAGCCCTCTTCCAAGACTTCCAATAAGATTATTTTCAACAATGAGGTTGTAATGCTTTGTTACTTTGTATTAAAGATTTTCCATAGAAAAAGTAACTACTTACTGATTGTTTATTTTAATTGCAGCTCAGTGTGATTACAGTACAGAGAAGAAAAGCAGCCTCCGTGATGAATCTGGAAAATATTTAAAAATATTCATAGTTCCCTCACAGAACTGTAGAGTTGAGAAAGCTGTTGGATGAGAAGTGTACTGACAGGGTGATGCCTGCAGAGAATGGTTACGGCTTGTGTCACTTTGCATAAGCATTTTCCATTCTGTCTTGAGGGTCATTGGATAACAAAACAGTGACAGCTTCCTGTAAGTAAAGAAAATATAATCCTACATTTGAGCTTCAGTGAAAAATAAAACCAGCCAAGAAGAACTCGCTACCTTCATCAACGAATCTATTTTTCAATTCCCCCTTTTTCCTTTGCATGAAAGTAATAATGAGAAAGAGGTCTTAAGAAAAATCTAGAATTTAATATTTCAGGTTCCAAATTTGGAGAATTTTATATCTAATTGTTACTTCTACTTCATTTTCAAAGTTCCTAAGAATTCATTTTATTATGAACTTATAAATGTAATAAATTAAGCACTTTCCAAAATGATGCTGTCATGTATTTTAATGTATAATTGTCATGCTTCATTTTTAACTTACATGGTTTCCAGTATTTCTAAAACTTGATATTTAAGAGTTTGGTAGCTTTTTTTAAATTTACTGCTTGAAACAGTACTAATCAAATGCAGATCTGAGAGTCTCAGAATGCATGGCTTTGAGCTATTGTAGCTATATGGATCTTCATGGATCCGGTTTGAGCTTGTGCACCCTGGTTTCTGTGTTTAGAGCAGATAGGTATATCTGGATAACCAAATAGGAAAGTGTTACAGTTGTCCAGATAAAAGATAATGAGTTTGAGTTCCAAGTGACATGAAAATACCCATGTGTAGATATTCAACCATCAGTCAAAGTTCGGGAATAGTGTTAACAAATTGGGGTTATCATAGGAGTCTTTGGCGTGGAGCTGAGAATCGAAGCCATGGAAATGTAGGAGCTTGTCTTGGGGCCTTATGTGATGGTGCTGGGTACCTCTTCAGCTCCTTCCCATGTCCATTTCTTGTGCTGTAGACCTGATGGCCTTCTTTTACCTCTGCAGTGCATCATCCTTCCTCTCAGTAACAGGTCTCCACATATACTTTTCCATTCATACATTCTTCAGATCTTTTTTCAGACACCACTTTCTCAGAGAAGCCTTTCCTAGACTCCAAACTAGATGAAGAGGCCTTGTGGTATGCCCTTGATAGTGTGCTCTAGTTCCCTTCATAGCACTTGCCAAGATACATAATTAACTCTGAAGTTTTTCCTACCCAATAGACTGCATGCTCCCTGAGAGCAGGATCATTTCAACTCTTGGTCACCACCATAATGTGTCCTTACTACCAAACATGTTTCCTGGCACATGGAGGATATTCAGTAACTGTCTCTCCATAAACTGAGTTTTTAAAGGGCAGGACCTCCCAGAATGACTTCATTTGTTAAATGAGTTCAAGAAGACTCCTTTTTCCATTCTAATATTAATCACCTCCTTTCCAGTTGGCTCCCCTCTTCAATACCTAGGTATTCTCCAAGAGGAAAATAAGCTCCATAATATGCAGCTACTATGCCTTCCCTACCACCTCTATGAATTTGAACAGACTTAATTTATATTAAGCTGTAGAACTGAATATGATGTTTATTATCTCATTGCTGGGATACAGTCAACACCCATAAGTTAAAGGAGGAAAGATTTATTTTTTGGCTCACAATTGGTAGAGAATTCAGTCCATAGTCAGCTGGCTTCAAGGCAGTGCAACATGGCAGAGGGGCATGGCAGGCAGGAAGCAGCAGGCCATCAGGCAGGCCGGGTTGTATATATACTGTACCCTCCTGGCCCATGCCCACAGTGACCCACCTCCTCCCCCCCGGCTTCACCTCCCAACATCACACCCAGCTGTAAACCCACCAGTGGACTAAGCCAGTATCACATCCATGATCCAGTCACCTCCCAAAAGCCACACCTATGAGTGTATGTGCCTTTGGGGGACATCTAGATATAAGCCATACCAGTTTTATTCCTCTCAAAAGTTTATTAATAATTTCTAATTAAAAATGTAAGTTTTTAACATTTCACATATTGGTCACTCAATTTCATTATCAAAGGCAGTATTATTCTGTGAACTGTACTATAGAAGACGGGAAATGAGTAAGAAAGAGAAAAGGAATTATGTAAATCTGAAATTGAAGACAGTGCTGCTAGTTCATTTTATTTATGTGTCTTTATAGTATCTCCCTGAGAAAGAAAGGAGATATGATTACCTCTTCTTTCTTTTGTATATAAATATGCAAATTGGACCCAGCAATAATCTTCTAATTTATCCTGTGGTGTGAGAACTGTAACTGCCCCAAGTATAAGAGAACATTAGCAACCACTAAGTCTTTATTCAGCGATATTGAATATTTCATAGCTACACCATCTTGCCAGAACAATTCTTGGACAAATCAGAGTCAAAAACATTTTACTATAAATTTGTTTTTTAACTATAATGTGTTTTATCATTTTTTTCAAAATAGTAAATCTATAATGAGCTATTTTCCAAAATGTTTCTCAAAAATAATTGAATTTGTTTTATTTACCTACAAATGTATATATACACATATGGATGGGATGTATAGACAAAGAAGAGGATGCTGATCGTAGCACTCTGAGTTTATGTATAAAATCTGTCCCTTTCCATCTCCATTCCACTTATAAAAATATACGGCTTTTGTGATAATATTAATGCTCTTCATATGTATATAAAGAAGAAAACTAAATATGTAGTGTCTCAATAACAGAAGTCATAGGATAGAAAAGTCTCTTAAAAGTAATTTTTTTTTACAACACTAGCAACTCCTAGCCCAGGAATTCACCACAAAACATTCCTGAGGGCCCCATGTTCCCACAGACAACCCCAGTGTACGTGCTGTGACGCCTCTTATCTCTTCTGCTCTGCTTGGAAAGTATATTGGAATGTAAGCAAGTGAGAATGACATCAGAGATAACTTGAATCTGCTCTTATTTATTATTAAGTACATATTCTTAAAGTGAAGTATTTTGTTTTTAGTAGCAAATTATTATTTTTTTTTTCCGTACTGGGGATCGAACGCAGGACCTTGCACTTGCAAAGCAGGCACAATGCCACTGTGCTAAATCCCCAACCCACATTATTATGTTGTTGTTGTTATTGTTGTTGTTTGGATTTTTTTGGTACCAGGAATCAAACTCAGGTCCTTGTGCTAGCAAGGCAGGCGGCAGAACCACTGAGCTAAATCCCAGCCCTCCAAATTACTTTTGATATGGTGGATAGCTGTTGAAATTCACTGAGAGGCAGCTCACTTCCTCTTGAGATGGCCTAATTCTTTTTCTGACAGCTTTTTTTTATTGATACAGGTTCACAAACTTGATTTTTTTCACCATTCTGGTTGCAAACCGAGTTCGAACCAAATCAAATTCAGTGGTTAGGTTCAATGTTGACTTTGTGGGGAAATCCAGTTCAGTTTGCAACCAGAATTGTGGAGAGAATTCAGTTCATGAACCTAGGTACCACTATATATGTTTACAACATAATCATTACATTCATCTTGGGGAAATGGTGCATACACAGTCACATCTTAACTGTTTTTACTTTCCCTTCTCCTCCCCACCCTCCCCTCTCACCCCTTCCATAAATCCCTTTCCTATCTCCACAAAGTCTCTCTCCCTGTTTCCTTCCTATCATCTCTTTTATTTTGCTCTTTAAATTATTTATATTTTGCATTTCTCATATAAGTATGCAATATTTAACTTTCTCTGATTTACTTCATGTAACATTATGGTCTCAAGATGCGGCCATTTTCCTATAAATGACTTAGATTTATTCTTCCTTATGGCTGCATAGTGCTCGTGTGTGTGTGTGTGTGTGTGTGTGTGTGCACGCATCACATGTGTCACATTTTCTTTATCCATTCATTTTCTGATAGGCATATAGGTCACTTCCATAATTTAGCTATTACAAATCATGCCACTGAAAACAAGGGTATGCATGTATCACTGTAATATGTCTTTAACTCTTTCAGGAAATTACCTAGAAGAGGTGTAGCTGAGCCAAATGAAATTTCTCCTTTTCGTTTTTTGAGGAATCTCTATCCTGATTTCCATAGTTCCCAACAACTTTGACCATTAGAAGATTCTTCCTTACAGTGAACTGTAGCTGTGTCTCCCTGCCTTAGTTCCACGCTGTGCTACAAAGTAAGTCTAAACTGTGTTTCAATGGCAGTTTTAAGCCTATTGAAAATAGTGTGGCCCCTGTGCTTAGTAAACATCCTCATTTTCTCAGAGGACTCAGTTTTGAGTTCTTCTGCTTGACCAGTCACCCTGTCTCAGTGAACTATGCTCAGTCAGTAAACATTAATTCCCATGTTCTAGATGCTGACAGGATGGGGAGAGGGGAAGGGATCCTTGCCTCCGTGTGGAGGGACAGCTTATTCGGCTCTCTGGGGAATAGATATGGCCTTAGACTGTAGCCTTCCCCCACACTAAGGAGATTGTGACATGTTATCTAAGAAAGTATGCTGAGCATCACTATAGTTAGTGATTCATGAAAATGTACATATATAATATTTTTATCAGTGTTTGAGATATAAAACCTCACAAACATGCAGTAAAAAAATGAGAGAAAACATGAAAATTATTGTTCTAAACTCTATACCTCCATTAATGTAAATTTAAAATGTTATTTTTCGAAAGTTAAATCACTTTTTGACAGATACTGAGCATACTGTTGACAAAAATCCTTGTCTTTTTCAAGGATTTTTTTACTAAGCCAAATCTTTGCCCCAGAAACAGGACTCTTCATATATCTGGGGTCATTTTAGCTCTGAATTCTGTCATCTAGCTTGTTAGTCCCGAGCATAGGGACCATGTCTGTCTGTCTTTGTTTACTGTACTTCTTGCACCCCAGACAATTTCTGATTTACATGAATCCCATCTGCAGATTTGATAAACATGCTACTTTTACTGTCAGGCAAATCACTGAACAGATGAAGAGGACTCTGAGTGCAGAGTTTCTTAACTCCTACCACCCACCAATTCCCTTACTTGGTTACAAATGAGCACCTATCTGCGAGGGTCATTTAACCTGTTTCAACGTAGCCTCTATCATAATCTAATAGGTTAGGATTGGAACCTATCCTAAGAACATAAGGAAGACCCAGCCTTCTGCCTCATAACATTTATTTACACCATACTACTCATATTCCCCAGACCTAATCTAGTAATCCTGTCCAAGAGGAAAACTGCTAATAATTAGTTACTCCATATAACATCCTAGTAGTCACTGCATGTCCTTTAGATGTTTATGAAAAACTTCAGTTTGTTTGATGAGGCATTGTAGAAATTTTCATTTAATATTTTTTCAAGACCAGCAGAGTACCTTTTTCAAATAAGAAAGGCATCAGAGAGTATTGTGATTGATGTATAAGGAAAACCATT